CAGGGCTGCTGCTGCCGTCATTTAATGCCATACCACTGTTATTCGCTGCACCACTGAGTAAGGCATCGAGATTATCTCCGTGGATATTAATAGTAACAGTAGAACGGTAGTGCTGTCTTTGTTTCTCTTTTTGTGTTTGCTCCGTCTGATTTCCTTCTGTATGACCTTGCTGCTCACCAAGAGATGTTTTATTTGTCTGTGGGTGTGGCTGAGACTCCACCTGTTTTTCCTTCTCTTTGGCAGCAACAACTGCGTCGTCGAGTTCCTGCAGGAGAGTCTTCACACGTTCAGCATTAGTTTCCGCAACTTCGATGGCTGTGTTAGCATCAAAAATCGCGCTTTCTGCATCTTTAACTGCTTTCTCCGCTGCCTCAGTATCTTGCAAAAGATAAAGAGCGACATTTTCGTATGTTTTCTCTTTACTGGTTATTGTTTCGTCGCGCACCTCTTTTGCTTTCTCTGCAGCCTTCGTTGCATTTTCAATGAGTTCCTGACCTTCAATCTTCGTTTTTTTCACCTCTTCTGGGTCAGCAGCAATTGTTTTGAGTTTATCTTTGTTGTGAAGAACAAATCGTTCAGCTTCTTCCCCGGCCTGTCGAGTAGCCTTGGTGGCTTCTTCACACTCCCCCTTCAGTCTCAAAGTCTCCTTAAACTTCTGTTGTGCTCCCTTAACAAGTTCTTCGTGACCTGAAGCCGCAGCATGAGTCACACCCACACAGCAGAGCACAATGGCCAACAGACACAACACACGGCACGACAACATAGACATTCTTGTTATTAATATCACTGAGGATCACTGAAATCTGAGCATATATGTGTAAAGAGAGAGAAAAAAAGAAATAACATGACAGAGCAAAAACCTACCATGACATAATGCAGGAAAACAAAACACGCACAATATGGAGTAAGGGGATAATAACAATATACAAATAAGTGGGGGAAAAAAAACAGAAAAAAATAAACAATATATATTTTCTTCCTTTCATTTTAAGTGAATTCCACAAAATAAATAAACAAAAAACGGAGTCTNGCAGAGCACAATGGCCAACAGACACAACACACGGCACGACAACATGGACATTCTTGTTATTAATATCGCTGAGGATCACTGCAATCTGTGTCTGTGTGTGTGAAAAGAGAAAGAAAAGAGAAAGAAAAGAACCAGTACACCGCTGTTACCATACACACACACACATGGAATCAAACAATAATGTAAACGAATTAGACACATTAGGGAAAACACCCATTATTCGAACAAACTGAAGTTCCATCCAATCCCAGAGAAAAAAGAAAAGATTATAAACGAATTGATTATTATTTGGTAACATTACAGAGATAGCCACACACAAAAACAATCATATCGGATAATGCATAAATCTCTCTCTACGTATTGGTTTCTCCCTGTCCCCATTACAATTTGCAGTGTCCCCATAGGAACAAGCAAATTATATGTTACCCCATTCACACAGAATGTAAAAGCAAATAAAAAAGAAAAAGAGATATCATTTACCAGAATCACACAATTGCAGAGTGAGACACAGCACAAGGTGCACAGCAATACTCTGCTTGCAAGTATAAAAAAGAAAAGAGATTAGGTATTTCC